TACTTCACTATTGCTACATCCACTCAGCTGCTCATTTAATCCTACAGCAGCAGCTGCCCAAAATTGTTTTTTGTTGAATCAGGTTAAGCCCATATGGGCTATGGGCTGTTGAATTGACTACACAATTGGACATATTCATTACTGGGCTGGACGGACAGATTCTGGGCATGGCCCAATATTGGCTTTTTGTCCAAAAGCCCAAAACCATTTCGGGATTCCCGATTTGTCCCGAAATCCCGAAACTATTTCGGGATTCCCAAAAATTGGATTCCCGAAAATTTGGTTTGGGATCGGTATTGAAATTGGGATTCCCAAAAATTTTGGTTTGGGAATCGGGACAAGGGTTTCGGTATGGGATCCCATACCGAACCACCCCTATGTATAATTAAGACCAAATAGAATCCTACCTTACCCCTAGGATTTCACATCCAACGACCTCTGACTCTCTCTTCCTTTCACTGCCTGCCAGCTACTTTGTTTTCTTTATCTTCTTCCTTTCGTGTCTGCATTTTTCCTTCAATTTTCGTTGATGGGTTGCATTATTTCTAAATAAGGATGATGTTGGGTTGCATCATTTCTCATATGTAGTGTTGTTGGGTCCCAATTTTCACATCTCATTTTTTTTCCCGCGCGACGACCAATTCTTGTTCTTTATCATTTTTTCCACTGATTTTTGGGGATTTTTTCTGAGTTTGTTTTCTAATTTCTGGAATGATGGTGTTGATTTCACTGTTTGTAATATTTATTTTGCAATTTTTTTTATCGAAAAGCTGAACAGAGACCTGATGGGTAATGGTGAATTTCCCATGGGTGGCAGTGGCGGTTGGAGTGTAGAAGTGGTGAAGAGCAATGGTTGCTCTCGGCTGTTTGGTGGGTTACCATCCCCATTGTCTTAAAAATCCACCAAAATCATAAACCAAATTAACAGAAATCCTTAAAAATCTATCTAAAAATCCTAAAAAATCCATATGAAATTTGTAAGAGTTTTCAAAAAACAATCAAATCTATTACTTTTAAAGTTTTTTAAAATCCTCCTAAATCCTAGGTTACATTTGGTAAAAGGTGCATCAGGTTGGCCAAATGTAGACCTCCTTTTAACTCTTTTTTTAGGGTCAGCTATTCAATTGTAATAATTGATTCAAATTGAACGATTAAATTTGAAAACATCCAAAGGTAGTTTAATTAAATTAACCAATAAATTCAAAGTATAAATTTAAAACTAACAAATTATTGAGGGGACTATGTTTAGCCCACTCAGTTGAAGATGATATATGAGTACGGCTAACATTATTCATTTAAAAATAATTTTTTTGCAGAGCTATAATTTTGGACGGAACTATATTTAGCTATTTCAGTTGGAGATAGTCTATGGCATGAATGGATTGATGATAATATCAGATGACGTCATTGGGACATGAAAAATTTACTCTTGAGTTTTTATTTTTTATTTTTTTATTTTAATTTTTTAATTTTTTTTTTGGTAAAACCATTCTGAAGAAAGGAGACAATTTTATTTCAAACACAGAGGCCCACATACAAAATAGTACTAGACACACAACTGGACCTCCCAACTAACCCAACAAAGCTAAAAAAAGAGCCCAGCACTATGGACAAAACAAAAGAAGTTTCTCAGCCCCAGCATCCATGGCCGTAAAATTTTTTCCGATCAACCCAAAACAAATCCTCCAGCCAACGCCAAATCTAATCAAGCAGGTCTGCAGAACCCAGCCACGAAAGCCGTCTTGATCCCCCCCCGATTGCTCCAATCGCCCCGATCTTAGCCAGAAATCGGAAGAAGTCCGTGGGAATACCCCGAACGACACTACCAACGAACGCAGACAAGGGAGAAGGAGGTGCTGTATTAAACACCCGAGCCCTTATGTCCACCGGAGCTCTACGCACCCTCTCAAATGATGGCAAAAATTTGCGTTGAAATCTGACTAAGGATTAAAGTGAAAGTATTTGGGAAGATAGACGTCGAGGAGAGACAGCTTGGGTGAATCAGGAAGAACTGGGGGGAAAGTTAACCAAAAACTGAGAAACAAAGAGCAAAAAGAAAAGCTTTCCTCCGACCCTCACCAAAGAAGGGCCTTCGGCAACGATTTTATACAGTGGGGAGTTCACTCACACATATGGTAGGAAAGACTCTCAGGAAGAAAGAAGAACTCTCACATTCTAGAAAAACTATTCCTAATGCAGCATTGGCAGGCCGTGTGAATATGTAATCTTCCAAGAAACCACTCTCTCACATAATTGCCTTTTTATAACGGATATGCATTATATATTCTTGAATGGACATTGCAAGTTGATGCCCATTTCTTAAGTCTTTATTTATTCTTTTCCGTGCAAGCTGGTTCAAGCTACATATGATATGAGGTTTAAGTTTTTTTATCATGACTGCAAAATCTTCTAATATTTATAAATTTATTTCTAAATATATAGTAGAGGGTTTAAATTTAATTTATGTTTTATATTAATACCATTTGTTGAAAGATGTTTTATCTTCGACAATGCATTCCCGATCTCTATAAGTCTCATAAAATTCTTCTCCGTTGTTATATCCACTGATGCTTCATCACCGGTCAACCAGTGATCCTATAATTTTTGCACCACTAGGATATTATTAGCATCATCATTCTTACAACCGTAAAATGAAACATAGTGTGTAAATTTTAAAATATTTTTAACCACGTTCATTGAATTTTAGCAAAATGTTTGTTTATTGACTTTTCTTCTATTTGTATAGCTTTTTCGTAAGGGTTTAGTTTCTCGCTCTTTTAATCTAAAAATCGTCAAGCAAAATCAGTGACATTGCCTGAGTAAGCTTGTCATCCATATGTAGACCTAGTTTTTGTGTTTTGAAAAGAGTTTGAAATTGATTTTGGGTTCATAGGTGGTCACTTGCGGTATTTAGTTTTGGGTTTGAATATATTTTTGTTTTATTCGGATATTTTAAATTAGTTTCTGTACATTTGAGTTTGTTTTCCCACAACCCCTTAACTTAGTGTAGCCTTAACCTAATATTGGAACAAAAATCAGTCACATAACTAGGAATTATCTTAGACCATTATGAGGATGGTTAATCACATAGCTAAAACCACCTCGATTAACTATGGCATGCACTAATTGGTCATGATACGAGTGCGAATTCCATATAGACAAATTAAGAAACTATGCAAAAAGCTTATTAGGAGTCGGACTACTTTCTTATTGATAATTGGCTTAGGTTATATGCTCATTCCAATTTGCAAGGTATCATATGAAATCAAATTGAGCCCAACATCTCACATGCGCACGTGATCTCATATCACTTGTATGTAGAAACGTGTTAAAAGTACGAATCAGATAACGCAGAATTAAAGAACCTTACAAAGGCATTGAGCAACTCCCTATTGTTCGCTCCCTAAATCCGCCATGGCGCCTTGCGGGCAAGCCGGGGATTTACTTCACATACGAGATTGGTGGGTGCGGGCGTGCCACTACTAGATGCCGCTAGTAGACGGGATTTGAATGATTGAGGTTGCGCCTGAGTTTGACTTCGAACCAAGAGATTGTGCCATTGAGTGGGAGTTACTCAAATTATGGTTCTTCGTTTGCCTTAAAAATAAGGACTTTACTTATATGGAGAGATAGAACAATATGTAAATGACAAGGTTGCTTGGAAATATAAATGACAGAGGAAAGTGACTAATATTGCAAATTGCTTGTAGATTAAATGACTGAAAGAGGGTCGTACATAAAAGCTACAAATAAGATCGATACTACAAGTGAGTAGCAGAGCTAATAAACAAGAAAGGCAAAGGATGCTTGGCTAAAAATAAATGTCTACAAGGAAGCTGATGAGCTAATTTGAGTAGAGTTTTGATTGGTTGTTTTGAGTGTCCATAATCCTTCTCCATCTACTTCCTTATATAGAGGTTTGGAAAAGCCCCTTTGTTGGGATCTTTGTACTTGCCCGAAAGAAGCTTGGGCAGCTTGCATTTCCTTACTTGGGTAGCTTGCATTTCACTTGCCAACTTGCATGGAGAAATAATATTAAAAGGGGAACTTGCATTTCCACCACATGCTTTCATCACATGTTTTCCCACTTGTAATAAACTAACATTAAAAAGAAGCAAGTTGGCTTCTTTCACATGTTCCTTGCCCGAAAGCTTGCTGGTGCCTTTCCATCTACTTGCAATACATGCATGTATCTTGATTAAACAAAGGCTAGACAAACCTCCACCACCCAAACAAATAGGAGAAACAATATTATAGTGTAAAACCTATCCCACTTGCACCAAATATCTCTCCAGATTAGTCTTCTTGCTCATTAATCCTTTAAATACCATTTTTTACCCAAATTGCCCAAATAAGTAAAAATGGGTATATTTTGAGTGCAAACACCTATATTGCAATCTCTCTACTCTAAATGTGCCAACTGAAGCATCTTCCCTTGTCCAAAAATAGAAAATAAAAATATTCTCTTAAACATCTATCCCTCTCTTTTCGTCCCTCTCTCTCTTTTGTGAAGTTTGTCTTGGTTTTATAATGGCTTTTTACCTAAAATGATCCTAAAGATTTACATAACTCTTTATTTTGATCTATGAGATTTGAAATCAATAAAAGTAATCTCTAAATTTGTCTAACATCAATTATTTTTCTCCTTTCATAAAAATCCCCATTAAATAAGGTTAAAATAACCAAAATTGAGGGTATTTTTGTCTTTTTGTCATTTTAGTCCTTATTTAATATAATTTTTGTCATTTTGATCCTTATTTAAATTGGGGTAGTTTTGTCATTTCAAATTTCAGTACCAAAGTGATGAATCATGCAAATCTCAGAGACTATTTTAACTAAAAAAAACTTTTTATTATTAAAAAAACTATAAATTGTAAATCTATTCTTGATTTTATTAATCATTTTAATATTTTATTTAATTTTCTACTCTTAAACCGTGCCTTGATCTTGGTTTTGTCATCCCTTTATATTTTTATGTACTTTTCTTTCTTTCTCCATGCCATCTTTTCCTCTCCCCATTAAAACTCCCACGTTAATCACTTTCACTCTCTACCATTTCAACTTCTTTTCTTAGAAAACCATTTCAGATTCAACCACTTTAATCACGCCGCCACCATCACCAACTGCTTAATTTCGTCCCTATATGTCTTCTAGACCCTGAGACGAGGACAGAAAGCGGTTTAGAACTTAACCCGAGGGCGGGGCTCATGACCTCTGTTCGAACTCTGAGGTTTTCCTGAAAAATTCCGCCATACACAGCCAAGGTAAGTCTCGGGATCACCTTGTTTCTCTTCCTTTTGATGTTTTGGTGCAATTCCAGAGTCTGCATGCATGATTGGTAGAGTTTTGGTGCAGATCCAACTCGGCAAGCATTTCCCTAGTTTTTCCGGCGAAACCCGTGACCTTCTAAGCCGTTTCCAGCCAACTCTAGCCACGGTTGGGAACCAAAATGGTATATTTTGAATCCTTGTCTTTCTAGCTTCATTTCGACTACTAGAATGTTGTGTTTGGTTGAGAATTGACCCAAAACATACACAATTAGTCTGGTGCTTTCCTTTGTTTTTTTATATTTTAATTTGTGTAATTTTTTTTAACAATGTTTTTTGTATTTGCTCCCTCAGGAAATTTGATGTCTCCTCAGTTAAGAGTTTTTGTTTTTTTGTTTGAAATTCTTTGTATATTTATGCACATAAATTCATAAGTTTGAGCTATACTTTGGGAGTACAAGCTTGATGGAACTCTGCTTGTGGGAATGATGATTTAGTTGTGGAGCAACGAAGATGGGATGAACAAAGCTTTCTGAGGAAGATGCAATTGTGCAGTAATGATTATTTTGGAGTGTTTAAATTTATGGATAAAACATGTAAAATTTTTGTTTCAGTTTGTAGGGTGTTTCGTTTTTTATTTTTATATTTGTTTAATATTCAATCGATTGGGCACAATTACAAAATTTGTGGTAAGATGGATGGGAAAGCCTTCTGACAACCTTGTCAGGATAGAGGCACAAAAAAACCATTGTTAGTGCTCAACTCTTTGAGCACTAGACGTCTTATTGTGCCCTTTGACCAAAGGCCACACTCATAGAGGGCACATATACAATTTTGATTGCTGCATTGTTGCTATCGTCAAAGAACACATATATTGGTGTCCTTACAGCTACTCTAAAGGAGATATCAAATTTTAAACATCAAAATGATAGTTGATAGCTTATGTGGTAATTTGACATTTTGTACAATATTTTGCTCCACCCGATATGTTAAATAATGTTATTTAATAAAAAAATTATCTTTTTATGGAGTCCAATGATTAAGGCAACCAATAAAATATTTCAAAAACATAACAACATTTATTATATATATATATATATATATATTATATTAATCTATTAAAATATCATTTAATAAATTGACATTTGCTGTCAAATTTGACAGCAAAAGGCTTTACCTTCAAATGACTCAGCGCTACCTAAGAAATTGAAGGCTCGGTTGGAGAGAGTTTGCTGCTATTTTTTACTATTGTATGCCTACGTGTCAATTTTGACATCTCCTTTGGAGATGACCTCAATAGGCACATTTAGAGCATCTCTAAAAGGAGATGTCAAATTTAAAACATAAAATTTGAATTTGACAGCTTATGTTGCATTTTGACATCTTTCAAATTTTTGCTCTCCATCCGGTATGTCAAATTAAACATTATTTTATTACACTATTTTCTTTTCTTTTTATTTTTTTAAACTATTTATTTTGTTAAACTATTATTTTCTGGGTCTCAACCTTTGAAGGTTAATCAGCCACCACTTTGGCTGTAGACGAAATGGGACTGTTTTGAACTGCAAAAATTGATGGGTTCTCATCTTCATACTTCACGGATCGCGGTCTTTTCCTCTTGGGTGCTGCGGATTCAAACCAGGACACTAAATTTTCATCACACTATAAAACACAAAGAACCCAGCTCTGTTTGCTCACTGAAAAACTAATTCAATCCTTTTTCTCAGTCTCTCAACAACCAAACGAAGCATTTGGGGTACCCAGAAAGAAATGAACAAAACCGAAAGCTCAGTGAGCTTATAGTACCCACCGGCGACGGACATGGAAGTGATAGAGGAGCAAGAATTCCGAGGGAAAGGCGACGTCAGCTGAGGAACCACACAAGGCGAGTTCGAGATCGGCGACGAAACTCTCGATTTGGCATCGCTGGTAAATTTGTTGTTGGTTTCCCTGGATCCGAACTTAATCGAATCGATGGCTGTAATTTCTTGCTTCATCAGCCCTTGTGGCTGCCTCTTCATCCCGTACAACAACTCCTTGACCCCTATTTCGATTTCGTCCTGATTAGAAGATGCAAATCTGATTAAAAAATTAATAAAAAAATATTTGATGTTGCTGTCAAATTTGACAACAAGGGGGAGAGCTGCCATTCCATGTCATGCCATATCAGATTTGGTTTTTCTGTTGGAAAATATTACAATTATCTTTTTTTACTGGTAACTCCGCCTATGTCTTACATGGCCGATCCCAAGCCCGGATAAAGGAGGAGGGGGAGGGCGTCAGGTAGTCGACAGCCGGCACTCCATGATCACGTCGAATCCTTATGAAAGTGAATCCAGAACAAAATCGCGATAAAGCTAGGGCGTCACCCGTAAGTGGCGCGCTGTGTGGCCCGAGCACAGTGATAAGTGAGCAAGGGTCGCTGTATCTCCATCGGCACCCGGATGCAGTGTTAAATGAGCAAGGGGGCCATAGAAACTTCTTTTCGAACGACTCCACTCAAAGTTGTTTGGGAGCATATGCTCCTATCAACTTTACCCGGGACACACAAAAGAAGTACTTTGATCCTATTAGACGGGGGAGGGTGAAGAAGCTAGGACAGAAGGGTAGAGTTCAAGAGAGCAAAATGCGTTTAGGAACGTGGAATATAGGAACCTTAACGGGAAAATCTATGGAAGTAGTGGAAAGTTATGGTGAGGAGAAGGATAAATATTATGTGCCTACAAGAAACTAAGTGGGTTGGTAGTAAGGCAAAGGATCTAGAAAACTCAGGGTTTAAACTTTGGTATTCGGGCACAAATAGAACGAGAAACGGTGTTGGCATCATCGTGGACAAGACCTTGGTACAAGATGTTGTAGATGTCAAGAGGGTAGGAGATAGAATCATGGCAATCAAGATTGTAATAGGACAAGAACTTATCAATGTGATTAGTGCGTACGCACCTCAAGTAGGGTTGGATACGAGTTCGAAGGAGAAATTTTGGGAAGATCTTGGAGACTTGGTGCAAGGAATTGCTCAGACGGAAAAGTTATTTATAGGAGGAGATTTAAAATGGACACGTGGGCAGGGAGACAGGCAACTATGGAGGTTTTCATGGTAGCCATGGTTTTGGGGAGAGAAACGAGGATGGGGAAGCTATCTTGGATTTTGCAATGGCATATGATCTCTCTTCTTAGCCAACACCTTCTTTAAGAAGAGAGAAGAACATGTGATCACCTACAAGAGTGGGTCGTCAAAAAACACAAATAGATTTTCTTCTAATGAGGAAAGGGGATCGTATAATTTGTAAGGATTGCAAAGTTATACCAGGAGAGAGCGTGGCTAATCAACATCGCTTGTTGGTGATGGATGTACATATCAAAAGAGTAAGACAAAAGAACAAGACTTGGAAGTGCCCAAGGACTAGATGGTGGAATCTAAAAGAAGAAAAACAAGCCATTTTCAAAGAGAAGGTAATCACCCAATGTGTGTGGGATAGAGAGGGGGAAGCTAGCCAAATGTGGGATTCCATGGCTAGTTGTATCCGAAAAGTAGCAAAAGAGGTATTAGGAGAGTCCAAGGGCTTTGCCCCCACACCAAAAGGAATCTTGGTGGTGGAATGAGGAGGTACAAACAAAGGTGAAGGCTAAGAACAAATGTTGTAAAGCCTTATACAAGGAAATGACCGATGAAAATGGTGAAAGGTATAAAGAAAAGCGCAAGCAAGAGGCGAAGAAAGCTGTCAGAGAAGCTAAGTTAGCGGCTTACGACGATATGTATAAACGACTAGATACCAAAGAAGGAGAGTTGGATATCTATAAACTATCTAGAGCAAGGGAAAAGAAGACAAGGGACCTAAACCAAGTAAGGTGCATCAAGGATGAGGATGGAAAGGTTCTTGCTACAAAGAACGCGGTTAAAGACAGATGGAGAGGTTATTTTCATAATCTTTTCAATGAAGGACATGAAATGAGTGCTTCTTTAGGGGAGTTGAGTAACTCAGAAGAGTGTAGAAACTACTCTTTTTATCGTCGAATCCGGAAGGAAGAAGTGGTTGTAGCTTTGAAGAAGATGAAACATAAAAAAGCAATAGGCCCAGACGATATACCAATCGAAGTGTGGAAACTTTTGGGAGAGACAGGTATAATATGGCTCACTGACCTTTTCAATAGGATTTTGAAAACGAAGAAGATGCCAAATGAGTGGCGAACGAGCACTTTGGTGCCTATCTACAAGAATAAGGGCGACGTACAAAATTGCATGAACTATAGGGGTATTAAGCTAATGAGTCATACAATGAAGCTCTGGGAGAGAGTCATTGAGCATAGATTGAGGCAAGAGACACGGGTTTTCGGACAACCAATTCGGGTTCATGCCAGGGCGCTCAACCATGGAGGCAATCTATCTCTTACGAAGATTGATGGAAAGATATAGAGATGGGAAAAAGGATTTACACATGGTCTTTATAGATTTGGAAAAAGCGTATGATAGGGTCCCAAGAGACATTCTTTGGAGGATTTTAGAGAAGAAAGGAGTACGAGTAGCATATATATCCAAGCTATAAAGGATATGTATGAAGGAGCAAAGACTGCCGTAAGAACTCATGAAGGACAAACCGAAAGCTTTCCCATAACTGTAGGATTACATCAAGGCTCATCCTTAAGTCCTTACCTTTTTGCGTTGGTAATGGATGAGTTAACAGGACATATTCAAGATGATATTCCTTGGTGTATGCTTTTCGCAGACGATATAGTGTTGATAGATGAAACTCAGGAAGGGGTAAATGCAAAGCTTAACCTTTGGGAGAGAAGTGTTGAAATCTAAAGATCTTCGCCTAAGCCGATCAAAGACAGAATATATGGAGTGCAAGTTCAGTGCAAATGGAGGCCAAAACGAGTTAGGGGTGAGGATCGAAGATCAAGAAATACCAAAGAGCGACCGTTTTCGTTACCTAGGATCTATCTTGCAAAAGAACGGAGAATTAGATGGAGATCTCAACCATAGAATACAAGCTGGATGGATGAAGTGGAAGAGTGCATCCGGCGTGTTATGTGACCGCCGTATGCCACTGAAGCTCAAGGGAAAATTTTATAGGACGGCAATAAAGCCGGCGATGCTGTATGGCACAGAATGTTGGGCGGTGAAACATCAACACGTACACAAAATGGGTGTAGCGGAGATGAGGATGCTTCGTTGGATGTGTGGGCACACGAGAAAGGATAAGATTAGGAATGAGGATATCCGGGGTAAAGTAGGAGTAGCCGAAATTGAAGGAAAGATGAGAGAAAATCGGTTACGGTGGTTTGGACATGTGCAAAGAAGGCCTACTGACGCTCCGATTAGAAGATGCGACTATGGGACAGCGGTTCAGGGCCGAAGGGGTAGAGGAAGACCTAGGAAAACTTTGGAAGAGACTCTAAGAAAAGACTTAGAGTACTTGGATCTAACGAAGGACATGACACAGGATCGAGCACAATGGCGTTCTAAGATTCATATAGCCGATCCCACCCAGTGACTTGGATTTTCCAAGTCTCCAACCGAGAAGTTTTCCTCCTCGAAAAATTAAGGGAACATTACCCAACCTACATGCTCCACTCAGAAAGCTTCAACATACAAGCTTCAACAAAAGAAAATTCAAAGAACTTAGCGAATAAGGC